ATATATATATAAATATATATATTTATATATATAATATATAATCTCCAGGACGAACCCAAGGCTTGTTAAACCAAATAAGTTTGGAAAAGCTGGGGGTCTGGCTTATGCTGTCTTGGTAAGACACAAGTTCTGCTTCACCAACTTTCATGTTTACTGTATTAAGAGATCTTTAGGTGGCTTCACAGGGGTGGGAATCTAGGTCCTTGGGAAGTCTTGTCTGTGCATCTATGCCCAGTGGTGACGGTGAGTCAGGCACTGCATTGGGAGAGGCTTTGCAAAGTTCCCTCCGTGGGGCGTGCAGAAGACACAGGCCTAAGTGACCTCGATTCAAGGTCATGAGTGATGGGTAGCCTAGCAAACGGCAGAGGTTCCCTCTGGAGTGGGGAGACACGGGGGAAACAGAGAAGGTAGACTAGAGTAAGTAAGATGAGGCCAGAGTTCCTGTGGGATGGGAAGCCAGGGTCTTAGCTGCCCCCGCCCCAGCCTGTTGAGTGCCTAGGAAAACCTTAGGCCAGACCCCTCGAAAGCAACTCTGAATTCTCTACTGTAGAAGTGAGTCCTGCAATTACCCGTTTTACCAGTGGGGAGACTGAAGTTTGTGAACTTGCGTGGTGTAAAACAGCCAAGCAAATAACCAAGCACAGGCGTTAGGGCTCGACTCCATTCTCCTGACCAGCTGTGCCGCGCTCTTGGGACAGGTGGCTTAAGTTCTGGGTGCGCTTCTGTTTTTCTTGGTGGTTAAATGGGCATAATCACATTTTACTCCGAAACTAATGGCTACTGTTTGTTTTTAATTATGTACTAATCAGTACTTGGCACTGCTGATTTCTACTGGGGCCTCCCCTGTATCTCAGCTGCTGGGGACCCTGTTACCTCCCTTCTGGTCTGCTCTTGAACGTCCGGAGACAACCGCGCAGACTTCCCTCACTACTGACTGCCTTCTGTGTGCACTGGGAATTGTAGATATCGGCCTCGGGAGACGGGAACAGCCCTTGCTTAATCGAGAGTTTTGGCTAATTGAGTTGCACTGGGTAGGCTTTTTATAGTGGAAATTCCTAAGAATTGCTCAACCCCCTATAAAACATCCGTTCACTTTCAACTCCGACTTGGCCTTTGGTAGAGTCCTTAGTGACTCCAGAATTCTGGACCCTTACCTAGTTGTCTTTAATGTACATATTCTGCATGCTTCCTACTGGAACTTTCCTTGCTGTTGTTGTAAGCCTCTCACAGTTCTCATCTGGCTTTATTTCGCCCAATTACTGAGCACCTACTGTGTGTGAGGCACACCGTGAGGAGGCCAGAGACTTGGTTTCCT